ATTTATTTAGAATTTACATGTTAACACGTTCCCTGTGGAACTAGAAATCAAAAATTGACCCCTCACTGATATAATATTAGTACATTTATGGATAGAAAATTCATTTTCATAAACTCCCTTTCCATTATCTAATTTTTCCCGAGTGCCCCATATATGATACACGCACGTATGAGCTCTTTACTTGATGCCACATATATGGTGCATGCACGTACTAGTTGTTTACTTAATGCATATAATTCATGCACGTTTAGAGTCATTTTGACAGATGTTTTAGTTAAATATCTGTAGTCTATACCGTGAAAAGATAGAAAAAGTTAGTGAAAGTTTATTATAAAGTGTTACGAGTTATAAAGTTATCTAAGTGTTTGACAAAGTTTTGGTTTTATCAACATGTCATGATCATCAAATGGCAATGTCTACCGGTTTCAGGCCAATCATGAAACCTAAAATTGTATTAGATTACAATCGCGGCAAGAAGGGCATTGATATAGCTGATCAGCTCGCAAGTTACAATTCGCCCATTCGCAAAACTTGTTTTTGGTATAAAATAAATTGCGGGTGATCTGATGTCGGTAGCTGTTGTAAATGCAATTTTGATCTACAAGGACCTCCATTGAAATAATAAAATGACACTGCTGACAGGTCATGAAATAATTATCAGTCATCTCCTGGAAATTCAAGATGCTGAGCCGTTAGCTGGGCCATCAATGACATCTAACTATTCCCGCCATGAATTGACCAAAATCCCACGCCGATGTGCTACCAAAATTTCCAGAAAGCGTTGTGTTGGTTGCTACAAAATTATGACTGAACAAGGCAACACACCTACAGAAGCTCGTAAAAAGGCAAAGCAAACGGACACCGAATGTTTGATGTGTAAAAAAGCATTGTGCCTTCATTGCTACAATGCTAGCCATTAAATAATGATTTTAGTTGTGCTTACCAGACAATTTTTGTTTCTTGGGTTTTATGACATTGTTTATTTGATTATTGTTTAGTTTTTATTATCACGTGCCGTATACGCAAGTCAATAATTAGATCTTTCTAACTTGTAATAAAAAAATAATAAATATTTTTCGTGATTTATTTTGATAGTAATAATCTGGCAACATTGGTTAAAAAGTCATCCGGTACCACTTGCTTATTGTCACAATTTTTGTGGTCCATACGTGCAAGCAAATAAAGATGATCTAGCTTGCACTTGCAAATTTTGAAAAACTTTTAAATTTACAAAGGGTCGTGTCTCATATAGTCATATGTGGTGCACTCACGTGTCGTTTGGACCTCGAAATGCATCACATATGATGCATGCACAGGGAACGTGTTAAATTCAGAATTTTCAAGAAACAAAAACTTCACCACACAAGTACTGCTTGCCGACTTGGGTTCGTCCAGTTACTAAAATTATGCGAAGTTTAACTACAAAGAAACAAGTTGTTATTGCATTATTACTTATACAAATAATGCAAAGAAGAAAAAAAAGAGGTGTGATGATTTTGGGTTCATCCCATTTTGGAAATAAGAGAAGAGTTTGGAGAATTTCATACGAGGCTGGCTTAGCTTTCGTCCATTTGGCGACCGCGTGGACAACGTGCGGTTGTATTATTCCGAGAAATTTAAATGTTGTTGCCTACCAAGAAAGTTTTGGGTCGTGTGTCTGGGCGCTAAAAGCCTTTAACAATAAATAAAAATAACAATTATCTAAACATTTTTCGTCGTAGTATATCGGGTTGCCACATATTTGATCTAGGCGCCCTCATTAAATCCATACTCTTTTTTGCCAAGCTGTAATTAATAAATAAATCTAAATAAGTATTTTGTTAATGTCATTTGTCAAACTTTGTTGTACATCAATATATCATCATCACCACCATTAACATCATCATCATGATAACCATTATCATAAGCATTATTACCATTCACATCATCATCACAATCATGGTTATCATCTCTACAATCATCATCGTCATCATCCTCATCGTCATCACCACCACTATCACCATCTAATTGTTATATTTCAACTAAATAACTGTTAAAGTAACTGTTTGACTTAAAAGTAGACAAGAATGAGAGCGACAATAATGATATTTGGATACATTTTTAATTGTCAAGTGTGTAAAATATGCTGAAGGCTGGACCTTTATAAAAGTGCATGGATTTCAAACTTCCCTTTGTCTAATTGATGTACAATAAAGTTTATAAAACTATTACTTAATACTTATTTAGATAGATAGCTTTACATGAATGAGAACGATTTAGTCACTAGCGCTGAAACTGGTATTTAAGTCGATTTTTTTCTAAAACGGAGATGCACAGGTTACTTCACTGTGCACACTCCAGTCCGACAGGAGCCCCTTCTCACGTGTGCGAAGGGTGTAGGTGATGCGGTATGGTATGTTATTAGGGGACTTTTAGTTGAATTGACGCTATAATGATACGAAAAATTGAAACACATTTTGTACCTATTTCCAAAAAAACATGTTTGTTTATAATAAATTGGAAAGTCACGGTATGTCTTCGACGTGTAAGTTATTAGAGTTTATCCTCGATGGGAAAATTGCGATTTCCACGAGTGTGTAATCGTTTCTCTTCTTTTCTTAAAATTAGGTCGATGTGGAACCGGCTCCCATGAATGAGAAATTGCCCACGTTTTTAATTTTTATTTATTACTGTGACGTAGTAAAGCAGTCTTTTTATGTGTAACACAGACTAAGTAAGTAAGCAATCATATTATGATAATGCTTAGCTGAATGCTGTAATAACATAAAAGTTATTGAAAGGGACACATTTTTGGAGGTTATCTGAATACGACCCACAATAAGAATTAAAAATACAAAATCATTGTATGTACCGATCGTGTGATGGAATGACTGATACCGACAAAGGTTAAAGTACTTCAAAAATAAGTTTTTTTTAATTTTTGTTGCTACAAAAATTATGAACAAGTTTTTATGTTCAAAATTACTTTTTAAAATTATTTTTTCATGAAAATAGTACTATAATTCTTAATATTTCGGAGTCACGTACGTGTAGGTACTATGTAAAGTGATCTATCCCTTGTGAAGGTTCAGGAGGCGTCCAGTCAAGATCAGAATTATTACAATAATAATAGTAGCTGTAGCATAAGGATCAGCGGGAGTTTTAACGAAATTTTCATTATCAAATAATTGAGGGCTATTTTACCCAGATCTCTGAGAATTCTTTACCAATTCATTATTCTCGTCTAGCTGTGCAGACAGCTACTTTATCTTTCTACATACATAAGTTTTGTTTATAGTGACCCTCCATATCAACCTCTAGGTAATACGGGTAAGGCACCTGTGCGAGCAAGCTCGCACAGGGCCCATCTCAGTCAGGTCTTGGCCCCAGCTTAGCCCGTTTGCACGAACTTCATCCGGTTCTCAAAAGGCTAGTGCCTTGGGTGAGCTGCCCCGGGTACACGTACATCACCCTCTGTAAAATAGTCCCAGATAGGTACCGAAGCCGTAGGCACGCTCACTGAGTTGCGCAGTACGCAACTAACGGTTGCCACCGTTAAGCCGTTGGTGGCGGAGCCGTAGACACGCTCATTTCTCGACGCCGAAGCGTCTCTGTAGTTCCCATAAACCTATGCATCTGGAGGGATCGGAGGATGTCTAGCTTATCCTTTATTGGCTCTCCGGGCTAGTGGAAGATGCTGGTCGTAGTGTCTTGCGCTAAAGTGCAACTCACGTGACCCGCGCAACTCTTCGCCTTAGGCCCTCGTGTAGATCGCTACTAAAACGCGATAGCTGCGTGCGGGACAAACGCTCCGGCCACATGTTACCGGCAGACAAACGTGTTCATCCCTGCAGTTAACCACAAACCCCGGCGAGTCTATGTTCGGGTCCACCAGAGTCGCCCGTGAAGGCGTATCACTGGCGGAGGGCTTGGCCCGGATGCTTTTTATGCTAGACTTTTTCATATTTAAACAGAAATTTTTCTTGAATTCGTGTAAGGGTAGCGAGACTATCTAACCTCAATTCGGGGATTTCGCGGTATATTCCTTCCCAAGTTTATATATATAGATCTCGATCGATCGTGGTCTATATACTATAAGTTTTCGTTAACTTATAACATTATACTGTATCTGTACTAAAATCGAGCATAACACTGTAACTCCGAACTTACATAAAATGCTTATTAGTGAGTAGCGGTTCAAATTCAAATGCCGAAATTCAAATTAGACGACAGGTCAATTCAAGTAGCTGGAGGCAGTCGGCTATCGGTATGGATATATCACGAAAAGTCGGAGTCGTTTTGGTAGCGTTAAATTTGACAAGATTGGCATCGCTCCAATTGGAGACTGCCTATGTTATGCTTCTCAGGTATGGATATAGTTTCAGAAAATTATATAGTTTCGAAATCAGATTTCAAATATCAATATATAGTTTCGATACAATATTCAGAAATAGCTATATTACCCATCCCTAGTCTTGTCTTTTGAAGATGATGGAGTAAAATGACAGTTGATAGTGCAAAAGTGTTGCTCGCTTGCAAGCAGCTAGTGTTGTGGTCGTTAAGTATTCTATCGACTAATGTTGGGTATGTTTATTGTGATGAAATAAATGCTTATTGGTATGCAATAAAACTTGTTTCATTTGAATCATCATCAGCCCATTGTTCATCCAACTGCTGGGCATAATATTATGTTCATTTGAATTGTGATAACATTATACACATTTAGAACTATGTCCATTAGAAATACAAAGAGGTTATATATTTTAAAGTTTTTCATTTGAAATCAATGCAGATAATAAAAATTTGCCAGTTCTTATTAAAATGTATATGAACAAAAATTTTGATACTAGTAGGCTTCCTGTCAAAAAAAAAAAAAAGAATAAAGAAGGCAATTAGTAATCATTAATATGTTGTAACATTCACAATTAAGACAATTTTGGCAAAATTTCATCACTTTCACGATCTATTGATAAAACTGTCGACAACAACTTATATAAAATTTTATGAAAAGTGGCAAACACGCAAATGTTATTTTAATCAGTCTTCAAGAAATTCTATTGAATATCATATATGCCAAATCAACATTGATTGTATGTAATGTAATGTGCACTTTTTATGCATTGCAATTGAAAAAGTTAAGGATGTGGTAGTTGAAATAAAAGGGCCACACACAGTATCAAAACGTAAATATATTCTCTATTCTACATTTGCCACATAGTAACAATTGTTTATATGTATTAATAAAGTTTTCTGAACCACACACAAGGAACTGACTATTACATTGAAAAAATTCCAAGGGTTCTAAATCTTCTAAACTGAATTTGTGATGAGTTATTGGCTCTTGATACTTGTATTTTGTATGTTCCGAATAGTTGTTGATGAATATTTTATATGTGAAATTCCAATATTGTTTAAAAGCATATAATTCACTTCTAAATAATATTGTGTTTTCACTTTGTGTACAATAATATAAAAACATTTTAGTGATATCATCTTCATTGTCAAGTATATTTTTTATAATCGATATAAACGTAGCAATACCGGTACCTTGAGCGATCATTATGAGTCTATTGAACTTGTTTGGAGTTATTTCGAAGGCACCATAAGGGCCTCGCCATAATGTAATGTCACCTTCTTGTAGATCGTTTAAATAATTTGATACTAATCCATCATAATACACTTTAAGGATTATAGCAAAATCATGGTCTTTTGAACAATCTTTCTGTTTAATAGGTGTGTAAGCTTTTGTACAACACAAATCTTTTGAAATATACTTGAGAAGAAAGTGGTCTCCAGGTTTCCATCTGACTTTTTTGCCATCTACACTGATTGATTTGAATACTAATAATTTATGAGAGTCACAGACTTCAGTAGCTTGTATTAGTTGATATTTTGTATATTCAGTTTGTGATATTCCATTTTCTGAGAGGTCATCAGGTAGTTTTGTTCCAGATTCTATAAATTGTTGGTACAATTTGAGTTGCTTTTCAAAAACGTCAAATATGCAGGGATTACAACCACTGTTACAACAGTCGTCTTTACTTGGTTCCAATGGTGGTTTCATTACTGTAATGACACTCTTGTTCTATTACTGTGATGACACACTTAAGTAACTAATTAACTAAACAACAACACACAGATCGGTTTAAAATGTACACAAGCGATCCAATTTAAATCCCAATCTCACAGATAACTGTAGACAAGTAGAACCCAATCTAGTCTGCAACTTTATTATCGATTCCAATATGTTTATGGTTGCAAGACATTTTTTTTTACCCTCTATGTGCTAATCAGCCCATTATTCGTCCGACGCTGTCGGAGATAGAGATGGGTCGTCGACGCGTTTCCCGTTAACGAAACGCAACCGTCCATCGTCGACGATAAAGTAGCTCAATTTGTCGACTAGTCGATCATTCAACTTAAGTTGATTTTCGTTCGTAAGACGAGTTTAACTGAATCAACTAAAGTAGCTCTTGAGAATATGAACTATAGTTTTAGAAATTAATTAATTTCCAATGTTTAACATGAGCGAGGCTATCGACGCTTTTAACATACTGCAATAGAGTTTAATTCCGATAGATTCAAGGGCATTGCGTCACAACGGGCGCAACGTCTCTCTCTCGTTCTAGCGAATTAACTACACCGTCATCCTCTTTGTATATTGAATGCACTAATGCACTATCATAATAAATAGCATAACAGACTTATCTTACTTCATCGCACGTATTCAAACATCAACTTACACGTACAGTACAATGAAAGTTCAAAATAATTTGTCTATGTAATTCTATGTATAATTCGACTAAGTCCGCACGTCGTCTCGTGACGCAGAGCGTTGATTAACGCGTGGACTCTCCGTTTAACCGTCTACGAATTCAACTAGTTAACCGAAGAACGGTAGACAGTAGAGACGTCGATTGGACGTGAACAGTTGATTCGACTAGTTCGTCCATTCAACGCCCGCCTCTACTCGGAGACAGCTCACACTCTTTGCACTCTATCCTGCGTATGGCCCACGTATGGTAGTCACAAACTACTAATACTGGTAGTCTCGCAGGACGCATTGCAGGAAGGCTTGCAGCTGCGACTAGTAATGAGATTAACTGCTATATTCGCACAGCACGCTAAATGCTAAATTTGTATAGCGTGCTATTTAAAATGCTAACATTATAATTTTTAGCAGCTAAAGGTCTTGTGATAATGTAACGAATGGAAAGAAACGTGAAATAGTTGACGTACGCTAACTTGTTAAGTATAGCATCTATGGTCTATCTGTAGAATAGTTTACAGTTTTTTATGGTTAGTTACGACCGACTCCATTTGTTTTGTAACTATTACATAATGTGGTTGTTACAGGTTATAGACGATAAATCAATGAGCTACCCTTCATACTTTAACAATTTGCACAAAACTTTGCACACTTTATTTACAGTAAATTACACTCATAATAATTAATAATAACGCACACACTATATACTATATACAAATATTACAACGATTTATTAATTAAACAAACGCTAAACTAACTAAATAAATCCAAGTACTTAAATATAAATAATTATCACTAATATCAGGTTTCTTGCCACGGTATGACTTCTTTTTATTTTCCCGATATTTCGGAACGGTTAATATCAACCTACGTGTACGAGTATATGAAATAGTTGTGCCTAAATATTGATTTTTAAACACACCATTCTAACTAAAATTCTTATAAAAAAAGGATATTTAGTTAGAATGACAATCTTTAAACCTGTAAAATATGAAGAACAATCAAATAGTACCGATTCCATACTAATTGTATTTTTAAATATTTAGTATCGTGTGTACTTTTGCCTTTATAATACTACAAGTCCGTAGTAGTTCATGTGAATAAAATTACTAGTTTGGAGCGTTCGTTCAATGTCCGAGCCCACGACAAGACGAAACAACTAAGGAACTAAATGAACTAAATCAACTAGAAGACCTACCTAGTTCAGTTGACCGATTGAACTAACTAGGATCGCTCCCTGTGTGTCAATCGGACGTGTATTACACGTGCGATATCGTGTCTGATGGTCGGATCCGACAATATAGTGTATGATCTATGGATCCGACTATCGCATCGGATTCACTCAATACACGTCCGATAAGTGTCCGATGCTTTCGTCATACTTTTTTTTAAAACTGACTGCAGTATTGCCAATTTATGGGGAATTCCCCAAATGCAGGGAATTTCAACTCAACAACTCACTTGGGGATTTTGTTTGGACTACGCTATGTGGGTAAAATGCCCTCGCATTCTAGAATTGTATCATATTTTTGTTACTTTGATGATCACTGATAAAAACACTACTTATTTCTTTGTTTATGAACGATATTGATATTTTTTTCAACATCGCACATGCGCTGCTTATATAGGCAACGTTTATTTAGAATTATTAGCAAACCGCTTATATGTATAATATTATCCAGTAGGATTAGAAGCATTTTATCTTGTATTCTATAATTACTACTATTATCAGTCACCGACAAGAGCCTGGCTCTTAAATAGGATGATGATGATCAGTCGGTGCGTGTTGAGCGCGCGACCCTTCCTCGTGTTTTGACCGGTCCCCCGTGTGAAAAAAATACAGCTGTTGCCGAACAAAGCCGAGCAATAGGTATTTTAAAGTGCTATCCACACATCCCAGGGCCGTGCCCGGGACGTGGACGGGGCGTGCTAGTTTGTATGAACTGCGGACCAGTCCCGGTGCCGGCCTGGATACGGACATATGCGGACGAGTTCATACAAAATATACGCAACGATATTTTTTTGAGCCCCTGACAGAGCACGGTCCGTCCACGTCCTGGGTATGCGTGGATAGACCTTAATACCACAACTTGCCATTCGTCAAGCTTGTTGAGTTTATTTCTAATTATAGCATAACGTATATGTATAGATGGCCACATTCCGACTTTCTTATTTGACATATTTTTAAGCATAACAATAAAAATATAATAAATACTGAGAATGAATAAATATTATTACATGTGGGAAATATGACCTCGGCTCTCCCAAATTTATAACGTTGGTTTTTGGGGATTTTGAATAATTTGCATTGGAAACGCTCAAATCGAAGGGAAGAATCGGACGTGTATTTCGTCTCCCCTCAAAAGTATAGAGAGCGCGCCTTCAGACAATTGGACCTAATAAATGAAAAAACCCTGGAATAAATGAAAAAACTGATTTTAATATTTCAACAAAGGTTTTTATAAAAATATATATAACATGAAAAAAACACAACTTGACATGAAGAGAATTCTATGAGGTAAAAACTTAGAGGATGGAAAAAAATAAAGGTAAAAACTTAGAGGATTAAAAAAAGTAAATTTGAAAAAGAATAACTATCAATGTCACACGGGCCAGTACGTAAAAGATCTCTGACATTCCTTCTTATTCACACCTGGCTTTCCTTATACTTACTATCAAAAAACCTTGTCAGTCATGAACACTCAGTACACGCCCATTTCTCTACGGCAAAATTCATGCTTGCCCTTTAACACTGCTTTTGTTAAAGCATCAGCAACCATGCACTTGGTTTCTAAATATTTGAACTTTATAGTATCCTTTCCTGATGCTTCTCTAATAAAATGATAGCGAACATCAACACGTTTTGTCTGCTGATGTTGCACCGGATTTAGGGCTATTGCCATAGCAGATTGATTGTCTGTATGTATCGTGATAGGCAACTCCTCCTTGCCCGTGATTTCATTCAGAAATCGTGTGTACGTGCTCGGCTTCAGCTGTCGATACGTTTTTGCTTGGTGCTCTTGCGACCCATTCACTACCTACCTGCAAAGCAGTCCACCGCGCAGACAGGAGACTGCTCACACACTATCCTGCATATGGCCCACGTATGGAGTCTCGCAGGACACATTGCAGGATCGCTAGCACGCTGCGACTTCATTCATAATTCTGCATTAGGCGGCGGATGGCTAGGCAAACTACAATGCAGGATAATGAATGCAAATTATAAGAATGAAAATTATATATTGTAAACAAATAGTCGCAGCGTGCAGCCCCCCTGCAATCCTGCAATACGTATAGCGAGACTTCATACGTGGGCCATACTGTGGTGTAGGATAGTATGTGAGCGTTTCCTGTCTGCGCAGCGGTTTGTTAGTGAATGGACCGTTTAAGGCCAGCTGGTTCTCGCGAGTCGTCAAATTCGCACGTTTTTTTAAAATTTAAAATATTGTCGTTTTCATCGAAATTAAAACATGACAATGGTATACGAATATACCCATGACCAATAAATGTAAGAGAAAGGCACTCTAGGGGTCGTATTCAAGAACTTTACTCAATGCTCAAGTCAGGACTTGAGCATTGCAAAGCACTAGAAATCATACTCAAGTCCTTGCCATTAGGGTCGTATTTCCAGTGCTTGAAATCATACTCAAGTTTGCTCAAATCCTGACTTGAGCATTGAGTACAGTTCTGGAATACTACCCTTAGAGACCATATACTTTAGGTATAATTTAAAGGAAGGTAATGAAGGCGTGGATGGTAATAAAATGTATAATAATAATAATAAAGGATGGTAATGGGTTTGTATGGAACGTAATAATTATGAAAATATGACATAATGTTAACGAGTGCTTGTAGAAAGTAATAACATTTTTTGAGTGAAAAGTGAATAAATATATGAATACTAAAATTCATCATAATTTCATAATTAAATTTTAATAAATTGTAGTAAAAATTTGATTTATCTGTAGAAATAAAAATTTATTAAGAGACAGAGACTCATATAAGTAGACATCAGTCTAGTTTATTCAAAATAAAAAATGTAGGTAACATCTTAAAAACATCAAAACATGGAAATAATAAATTATAAATATAAAATTAGTAATTTAATCAAATTTCACATTGCATAATCATATCAATCAAGCCTTTGTATTCATAGTTCGTTAATTTTGTTACGGTATATTTTAATTTCTCATGCCGACAAACTGATTGTCCGTTTTTTGGTATTTTTTGGATTTTTGTATTTTTCATTCAATTCCCGCTGGAGTGTTTCATTAAACAATAATCTTTTGTACTTCCTGAACTTAATATTTTGGAATGTCTCTTACTAAGTTATTAACTTTCTTTTCTAATGTTTTTATTTTATTTTTGTAGGAAATTAATTTTCTTTACTCCTTTTCTCAAATGACTTTTTTTATTTAATTAAAGTTGGTTAATTTTATTACGTAATTTTTTTACAACTTTCATAGTCTCAGTGCATCTTACTTTTTTTTCGTTTCCACTACTCTTCTTTTTTTATAATATTTCTGTCTTCTGTCTTTTAGCCTTTACACAATAAAACACCATACAAATACGATTTAAATGTTCGTAAACGTGAGTCAGTCTCAGTAGCGATTAACTTTAGTAATATTACAAATTTAGAATAAGATCATTGTGTAATTGAATTATTTTTTTTGAATATTTTAATAAAGACGATTAAAATTCAATTCTTATAATATTTACGACTGTTTTCGTGACATCTTTATTCTCTCTGAGCTCTTGTAGTCATAATTTTTATGCTCTGAATTATTATTTTTTTCTTATAAATGCTGTATTATTCTTTATTTTCATGTACTTAACTTTCTTACGTAGTCGATCTTTTGCTTTATTTGTTTTGTTCGTCCTTGCCACTCTCTGGACCTGCAAAATCATCGAAATCTTGTTAAATGACTGCCAAAAATACAGAATTTATTAAAACCGTCTAATATTAATATAATCCTTACACCCGCAAAAGTTAACAAATGTTTTAGCAAGTTTTTAAGCGAGCAAAGTTGATGCCACACTGAGTTAATTATTAATTTAGCCAAACATTGGAAAGGTCTTTTGTTTGCCATATTTAAATAGATTTCCACGTTTTAGAGATACCCTAAGTGTAATTTGTGATCACCATTAATTAATTTGCTATCTTTTAGTAAACTGAACAACGTAAACCTAGTAACGTAAACGAAAAAGAAAAATGTTAACGTAAAATATCTTAATCGGCAAGTTCTTTTACGTTTGCATATAGTCATGTTTGTGAAAAATGTGTGGTTAGGTAAAAACTGCAACCTTAATTTCACTTCAAAATAATCATTACCTTCCAAATGAGATCAATACCATCCAGCAAATAAATCGGAAGGAATGGCAGGCAATGAGGTGGAAACAAATGAGATATGGACGGTTTTCAATGATTTATGCAAACACCCCATGCAACTTAAGTCTAAAAATTATATCAAGGATAGACTTTCAGTACATAATTGAATTCAGCATTAAATAATAAAATAAACCTTTATACTTACCGCAAAAAAATGGAAGGTGATGAAGAGAGACCTGTTATAAACCACTTTTCGTCCAAGTAAACTATAAATTTCTCCTTCGCAATGTCAAATAGCCCACCTGTGACAAGATTTGACGGCACACTGAATAGGTGGGGAACGGGTTGGCGACATGTATCACTGTGCTCAAGGGCGAAGTTTGACAAAATCACAACTTCCATAATTTCGGAAGGAAATGATGGTTTTCGCTGGACAAAAATCTAATTTATATTCTTTCTATTATCCAACGAGTTGAAAAATTAATAGGCTTAAAGAAATAATCATTTATTAGTAACTTTGTCGGGTCGTCATATAAAATTCGGGGGTATTCCTTTTAGAAGGTGCGTAAACACAGGGAGAGTAATGAGACTTGGCATCGTTTCTTAACCCCTCGGAATTATTATAGGACGTAGACCTTGGCCGTAAAAGACTCCCCAAGTCATTTCCTGTGTATGTCCTTCTCTCATTTAAAGTTTTTAAAAATTTACTACATTTCTACCGATTTGCTGCCTGGATGCCGATTTGAACGATTCGCGAGAATCGCCGCTGCTGTTATGTATTCATCTCACACAACATCAACTTCTGTTACTAGTTATATGATGCTAACGCTATATTATCTAGTATTAGTATACTGTACCATCTACTATTGACCGAGATAAAATTGTCCCAACGCATTATTAACTTTTCAATTTGCTTACAACTTCTTGTTGGAACAATTCGCAAAAAGAACACAAAATCGCGCTCCACAAGTATCTCTTAATTCGGAAGTAGCGCTTCAATATGTCTTCTTTTCTTGCGTACCTAGGTATATCCGCAGAGTCCTTAACGATTTTAGCTCTAAATAGCAGTAACTGAAATTGGATCGTGTGTCACTAGCGTTGTAGTCGTTGTATTATGAAGAACTTAAAGGAAGAAGTATGTAATGATTGACGAATGACGAATGAATGAATATTATTATTATTATTTGACAATGGCAATGAACTTTTGGGTCGCAATGCGCCTGCGTGTGTGCGAATTGCGAAAACCATAGACAAGAACTGGTTACTCGGAAAATGCAAACATGAAGTTTTAAGCGCGATTTTTAAAATGACATTTTTAACACATTTTCACTGTAGTGAACTTTTACCTTGGTAACAAATTATGTATTATCAAGTTTTATTGTAAAAAAAATTTAAAGGTGGACAGTTTTTTATAAATAAATTACATATTTACACGGAAATTATGAGTCTAAAAATAAGTTCTAAATGATTGAGTGGCGCCCTCTACACAGACGCCAGCCAAACAACCGGTTCGCTACTCTCCCGGCCCGCCATAACATTCTTTTTGACCACTGCGATAACGTTCGCTGTAAACAATTCTGTGAGTATTTTAATTTAATTTTCTGCTAGAATTAAATATTTTTTAATAATTATGCAAAATTTCTTCACGAAGTAATGCTACAAAAACAAAACATTAATGTAAATTCGCTTTGCATTGTCAATATCCAATTTAGCTACCTAATCCAAGCAGACTCCATTATATAGGCTTGGGCTCATGAAATTACTAAATTGTTGTAGCGTCAGCGTCTATTGTATGTATTCTTTATATACTTACTATTTCTGGCTAAATTGGTCAGTTTTTGTATGTTGCAAATTTCAGTACATTCCGTACTATAGTACGGAAATTAATTATGTTCGGCGGCTTGGCGTCATTTATGTGGTTATTGACATTTCATTTGTTTTACCTACATTGTTAACGATTTACGGTCGTTAATAGCGTTTGTTGAGTTTTACTTATTCGTAAGCTTATTGTCTCGCATTCTTATGTATTTTTTATAATTTTTTGGTGCAACATAATTAATTATTATATTGTACTTCCATAGAAATTATGTTCTCCATTTGCAACCGAAAGCGGCGTGCATTAAATCAATTATTTCGATATACATGTATTGTGTTTTCTTACAGGTTTACTTGTGTAGCTGTACAGATTTAATTTGAGAGAAATGTCTGATGATGGTTCAACAGTGGTTGAGAAGAAGGGACGCGGTAGACCAAAATCCAATGGAACACAATCTGTTAGTATCCAAAAGTTTGTGTTGAACGCATTTTTTTTCGATTTTTATATACTGAGCTTGTTAAATTTTCCATCAGGAACCCAAAGGAGATTCCAAGAAAAGGGGTCGACCACCAGCAGCTACCAAGGCTAAGGAATCTGCAAAGTCCTCTGATGACGAACAGGCGCCGATAGCGAAAAGGGGAAGAGGCAGACCCAAAGGCTCCAAGAAAAGGGCTGCACCTAAAACCAAGGTTTGTTTTTATTTAAATTGGTACAATTTGTCCTTTTGTTATGGCTGTTAAGTTTTTAATAATTTGTCTATTATTCAGGGTGGATCTGGTGAAGGGCGCGGCCGTGGGCGACCGCGTAAGGAAGCTGCCCCCCCGAAAAAGGATGCTGCTTCCACTGAGGAGGAGCAGGACGAGGATGAGGAGGAGGAAGGCTCTGACCAGTAAAATGTCTTTATTTGTTGACATGCAACACTCTCACTTTAGTGTAATTTGATTGTCACGATAACTCTTGTACGTTTGTCTTCATACATTATAGTTTTTTGTACATGTTTACATTAGACTTTTACGAATAAGAAACGCTTCTGATAATTAATTACATATGGGGTTATCTTGACAGTACAAAGAAAAATATTCTCAACTGAGACCATGGGTCCACCCAAATTTTAATCATGTGAGGAAAAACTTATAATGTATCACATTATTATCTCCTGATAATGAACAATCCGCCTTATGTTCAAAATTTATGAACTTTGCATTTTATTAATGAATAGACATGAATAAACATTGGGTAGACTAAGTTCTCCCTAGAATCGTACAACTTTTAAGATTATAATTTGTAAGATCCCTTTTTTGTAGATTTATTCTATTCTTATACCTAGGCATTTTGTATTTGTAATCTCCTGATTTATGTATGACTACTATGGATAAAGATAAATCGATACATACCTACGATTTTGTAGAATTACTAAGTATTATTTTCTATAATAAATATTTTTCATTTTGATTTTGGTTTTTTTTCCTTGCCAAGTTTTTGCTTTTTGTTTAGTTTATAAGTCCTTTTTAATTTTTAGTTTATACTTTGAATATGCCATGTTATTGGAGTAATGTGTGTTTGTCAATCAAGTTTGAGTACTTAGCTGTTAATTAAAAATCCATTCATAGTATGTAATAGTGTAGTAGTGCCATTTGTATTGATCTGGAGCAGACTGAAATTACAATATTTCTGCCATTACTGTGTGTATGTGCGTGAATGTACAATTTTAGAACAAAATACAAATAAATTATGAAAAAAAAGATGTTTTATTAAATGGGAATAGCCTTCATATACTCTATAAATGATAATATGAGCTACTCTATATAATAAGATCAATGATCTTATATACGTAAAATTTGTGTGGTTTGAACAATATGTTGAATAGTACATAACGACATTCTGACCAAACCAGCCGAAGGGAAAAAAAAAGAAGTAGGACCCAACAACCCTGAAGTGCTGCGCCCTATAACCGGTCGTAACGGCTCACATAATCTTTTGATTCTATAATATTATTGTAGGTGGCGTACCGATACATAGGAGTCATTTCGTCTATGTGTACATTCAGATTTTGCAAGCAAAAGTGGACTCAATGATAACTACTCCATACAGTATATAAATTTTGGCACGTTTTTATCTGCACGTGTGATCGACTGTTATTACACTCTTTAGTCTATGGTACATAATGACGCTTCAATTCATTCGTTCGTTCATAGCACTTTGGTTGCTAGTATAGTGGTTTGTGTTTGGTTGGAATTTTGTGTCTGCGTCACTCGTGTGTTGTCCGTTTCTTGAGGATTATTTTTGTTTCAAGTTGCTATAATTTAATATAAAATGATTATTACGTGTTGTTTAGTGTACCAGCCTTACATAATACGCCTTTTATCAACTTTAGTGAACTTTGGAATGTGATTACGGTGTTGTAACAGAGGTGCCTTCAAAAGTTTTTGACCAATTTCAAAGTTTTGTGAAGTGGTACTTTTTAGTACTAATACTTTTAACAAGAAAATATGTGTAGCAAATCGAATTATTGGATTTAATCGACGAAATTTTGGATGAGGTGCGTATAATGTCGCGTATATTATTGATGTATATTTGAATAAATTGCCGTGGTACAGGTAGATAATCACATCATTGGAATGTTGTCATTGTGATTAGGTATTAAATTGACTTGACAGCGGTTGTTCAAAAGAGGATTTCTATCGCCCCCGAGGCCTCAGATAATTTTCGCATAGAAATAATACGAGCAAATTTTACAATAATTGCAACTGTAATAATAAAGTAAATATTTGAAACCATTACATACCATAGTACCAATATATAATATTTGTATGTAGTTGTTATGTGTATAACAAGAGTAGCTGTGTTACGATTATATTATATTTAACCAGATGTTAAATACATAATAGCTTTTGTATTTCCAATTGAATGTGCAATAATTTGATAAAAGTATGTACAAACTTGTAAAGTACATTATATACATTTAGGTATTTTTGATCTTTTAAAGATGGGTATATTATTATTTCCTTTATGGCAGCCACTAGGCTTGGGTCAAGGTCAGTTCCTACATCTGCTGCGTATTGCAGGATTATGAATGTAGTCACAGCGTGCAAGACATCCTGCAATCCTGCAATGCGTCCTGAGAGGCTCCAAACATGGGCTGGGATAGTGTGTGAGCAGTCTCCTGCCTGTGCGGCGGACTGCCATGCAGGTAGTGAATGGGCCATTTAATCGAGGCAACAGTAAAATTAAACAGAATGTTATTGCCGTGTCATTGCCAAAAGGTGAAATTCAAAGCTATAATTGTTTAATTTGAAAAATAATCGGTATCATTGATTTCTTTTTGCAGTAAAAAATAGACAAGCACAAGATTTTAGTGTAGTGCTAAGATATAACATGATAAAAGGTTTAGTACTGTTAAATTGTATTAGGCATTGACTTACAATTATATGGACGTCGGGTCCGTGCTAAAAAGTGTCCGAACTTATAGGGCGTTAAAATCGTATACAGAGCGTCATTCACGCTTTGGTCTTCGTTTGTTTCTTCTGACAGCGAAGCAAGCAAAATTAGACAGTACTGCGATGACATTACAATTTAAATTCAACGTTTTAGCTTTTTCATATTCCTTTACATGTCACTACGTTTAAATAGGTAGACTTGGGACATTTTTTCGTGTTTTTTGTATTAGACCCGTCGTCCATTTATTTGTAAGTCAATTGTATTAGGCCAGTTTTTGTTCAAAAAGTATGACACTGAGGCTAATAATACCTGCACTGCTCTAGTTTATGAGACATATCACCACCTAAGTACTTCATGCTACATACTGAAATAGGTTTAATAGTTATGAAATAGACATAATATATTTATGCATTTTGTTTATTACAAACAGTACAAATTAAAAATTATATCTTTTAACTAATTAACTGTAAATATTTTTTTTCAGGTAGTTCTATTTGAAAATCATGTCTTCATTAGACAGATTATAAGTATATTTTGTATTTGTGAAGATAAATAATATTAATCTTCTGTATACATTATACATTTTATGAAGCATATTTTATTTCGTCATAGTTCTCCATATGAAGAAATGGTTAACTAAATAAAGTCGATAACTTAACTAAACGTCGGTTTGTTTGAAAAAACAAATATACGCGATTCAAATCCGGAAAAATAGTTAACTACTAACTAAACTAAATTAGGGCAAATGTTACTTCCAAAAGAAAATAAGTTGCTAATTAATATTTAATAAAGCTTATAGCCGTAATTTACATGGTGAAAACTGTTCAGCATATTCAACTGTCCATTAGATGACAAACAAGATTCCAAACAAAGCTTATACTTAGTAGCACAAGATCGCCCGGTTACTATGCCGTCACTAGGAGCAACACGCACGAGGTCGCGCCATCGTACTCATGTAATGTTACGGTATAAAGTTCTGTCAAGTACTTTATAAAATAAGCCTTTGCAAATGTAGAATTACCTTTTACGGAATCGCCTCATTAATGCGATGGAACTTTTAACAGGTGAAAAGTAGTGTTTTTGACATTGGAAATGTCGTGTAATTCTAGAATTTCGTATACGCTGTATTCAATATTTAAGACTTGTAGAGTGGTTAATCGATACGCCACAAATTCATTATTTTTATGTTCGGCGCCTAAAAATGTTTCTTCCATTTTGCATGTTTTTCACTTTATGGAAGCGTGTATTTTTCATTCCTTTAAAAAATGTGAGTACCTATTATATTTTCGTGCCAATTTATTGCGAACATATCGTCGGTGTTTTGTAGAAAGGGCATAATCGACATTTAGTAGATTTTTCAAACGCAAGCGCAACGAAAAGCATGTTTTAGGTTTTAAAGACTGTTTTAAAATATATATGTCCTGTTTTAAAATTCAATTTTTGCTTTAATTAACTTTAAGTTTTAAAAATGAATTTTAAAACAGGACATACACATTTTTAAAATAGTTGTTAATATCTAAAACTTGAAATGTCGCTTACGTTTTTTCTACAAAACACTGATGAAATATACAAACGTACATTCGAACTTTCACACAAAATCATGACGTTACTTTTTTATTGATAAAATAACTTATTCAATTATTACAGATATTTAAAAACTCATCAATAAAGATCAACACTAACTAGGCTTTCCTCATGAATAAAATGACAAGTGAGTAAATATGTTTAAGTAACATATTTTCATTAAAAAATATGAAAATAATATCTTGGTGTGAATTATAGTTCTGGCACGTATGTCCGTTAACGTTTGCCGTATTATTATTTAGAATGTTAGTAATTCCATACAGTGAGATGAGAAGAGACAAATAGTAATTTCTCCAAGCTCATTTGATTTGTTTCCAACCAACGTTCCGGTGCTGCATCCGTGGCGAACCCTGCGTTTACGCACGCGACGAACTTTTCAGAATGTTGCGCTCTGATGCACTCACATCGCGCTTGAAAAATAATCAAATGTTTCTTTAATTACACCAACCTGCTTTTAAAAGAAGTATATAAACTAAATCGCGAGTTTAGGTATTCATTAGGTTGTATTTGTTGTCGAAGTTTAGGAATCCACCAGGTGCATCACCTGAATGTTCATCATGTATATCTTGATAATGCTCGTGTAAATTGTCACACAATCGGGTTGAAAATTGAAATACAATTTGCTTAGGGACATAGTATGCTGTCTAAATCATACACAAACATATTACTTTGTAATGATTACTGCATCTTTGTCGTAAAGAGGCATTAAACCACAAGTGCCCAAGCTCACGACGTCGACGGTGTTTCTTTTATCGCGGCTGATCAGCTAGATTAGTAAAGTATTTCCTGTTTCCATGTAGCAAAAGTACAATAAGTACGAAATTCTTGAAAATAATTGCGACATTCCTTGAGCTTATTCTTTTGGAAATTATGAAGCTCGACACAATAGGTTCGTCGGTCCCGCAATAATGACACGTGCCGTCGCCGATGCCTTTTGCCATATACGCCGAATGTCGAGTTGTATTGAGTCACTGTGAAACAGTACGAGCTCTACATTCTAATTAGTCCAGAATGGGTTTTATGTGGTCGCTATATACGATCACGTTCCAATGCTATGTCCAGGGAGTAAAGAACCTTACCATATTGGGCGTTGAGTGCAAATATGATTGTTAATATCGTTATACACTTTTGTTTAATATTTGATTCACGTACTCAACTGAATGCCTTGGAATCCGATCTAACCTTATTCGAAGTAGATGCTCAACAAGGAAATTAATCTTTTCTATTTCACTTATTTTGCTGTATCGCTATTGAAATTGCCCAATAAGAGTTGTCTTAAATTGGCAACAAAGCGATTTGGTACCACCCGGTCGTTGCCTCAATGAGTCACAGATGCACGTTGACTCAATACCGCGATTGCGACCAGATTGCGGTACTAATTTTTATGGAATTAGCTTCTTATATTTCCACTTTTTTGACAGGTCCCTTTGTTTTATTCGCACAAGCACACATGATACTGCGCTAAAATATATATTAAAAAAAAGAAGGTATAACAATAAAATTTAGATGTCAAAACCCGAGCGAAACCTTAATTATAATTTTGATTCATTTATGTTCTAACTAATGCTTCAGAGATCGTCAAATTCGGAGGCCCGTCCTAATATTCCACAAGCATAATGACCGCCAACTACGACTCATTATCTCTGAAATATTACAAGTTAGTGAGTCAAAACTAAATTAAAATCACTCTTGTCTTAAGTTTTTTAGAATAAGATTTTGCAGTAATCGGGTTTTAACTTGTATTTTTATTTACGGTTTTTCGTAGTAGTACAGTTTTTTTTTAATTATTGGCTCATACTTTCACTTCAAAAACGAATTTTGTCTCTTGTTCTCAGTAGTAATATATGCCTATATACATTTATAATAAAATATTATTTTATTAAAAAGCGAAATAGGACAAGAGTAGACCAAAAAAGAATTTCTTCAAAAGATACAGTGGTGCCACATATGTATTTACTTACGTAACACAGACGCTATATGGGATTTTTTCTTAAAATTTCTAGCCTATGTCGCGGATAACCGAGACAAACCCAACGAGGCGTCATATATTAAAATTTAAGAAGTACTTTAGGTTCTGCGGTGAAACAATTAACACAATTACGCACATACACATATTCGCTATACGCTGTCAAAGTTAAAGAATCATTTATTCCACAGGTAAAATAAATTTACACTTGAAAACGTCACATTTAAGCTAGTGCTCGTTCACTACGCTAACTTCCCTGAGAAGAACGAGCAAGTAACTCTAGGGATTGCTCTTTTCAAATAAACTTAAATATACTTTGGAATACACTTTGAATCAAATTTGTGTAGATTCTGGAGCCATGTCGTCTTTCCATACATCTTTATCTAACAAACAGGTTTCAATATTGTAATATGACTTTTCAGTCAAAAAATTTTTGATGTACTTTTTAAACTTAGGAAATGATAATCTTAATATATGCTCCGGAATCTTTTTGTAAAAACGTATACAGTTTCCCATAAAAGAGTCGTTTACCTTGGTTAAACGATGTTAAAATCATAAGGGATTTTTTTGACTTGACGTAGTTGATTAAAAATGCAGAGCCTCTCAATCTGTCACAGCTTGTGCTGCTCTTACACTATAGAAGATATTTGTTATGGTGTGTGTTCGTCACGTAACCTTGAATCGGGTTCAAACTTACTTGTACATAAACATGTTAGAACATAGAACTACTTTTGTAAGATCCAAATAATGTTGGATCAAAATATGCCAGTGTTATAGTATACAGGTGTCCCAGAGCAATGCCACACTGAGAGAAAGTTCTGTACGCAACCCTCCGGTTGACTGGTACAGAATGCTTAATGGCATTAGTCCGCCATTTGGACTATTTTGTGTGCAATACAGATGAAATAAATAAATAAAAGTATTTGAAATATACATATATGTACATAGGATTTTGCTTCAAGGAGACGTTATTTTATGTTTAAAAGTACTGTAATGCATTCAAAGAATTTATAAAGTTGCTTGTCTCATCTGGGAATCAAACCTAACTTACTTAACAAAAGTGAAATAAAGTAACGTCCTGTATTTTTATAATGCCGATCGCAAGGGTCAAATATAAGGATTAATTCCTTTTAAGTAACATAATAATATATCTCAATAATTCAGGACATTCTGTATAATTAATTTTGACTGAAACATCCATGGCGTGTTGTTAGTATTTCTATACTATGTATGTAAGTATTAGTGGCTGTCAGTTCGTGACTATTTCAATTCACAATTGTTACGGTTAATAGTTGCACTGGTGATGAATGGTCTCCTTTGCACGCCGACCAACATTATTAGTGATAAAATGAGAGTTTCAATTAATTTATTTTATTTGTTTCAGATAGCATGACGTAGATTTTGTACTATCACTGCTGTCTACAAATTCGACGAACGGATTCATTGTTTCAACGTAAGTTCAAATATTGGTCTTTGCTGTTGTTAGCTAGTAGTTGAATAGAAAGTGTTAACAAACAAAGGCTGTTTTTCAATAGTGTCTCAATTAAGAAATGGTACAAGTTCGTAACGTGTTAATAACGATGTAAACGACGAACGCAGTGGGTCATGCCGGAGGTTTTCGTCCTGAATTTTTAAATACCCCATTAAGGCAGTACCTGTACCTCAGCGCCTCGGTTTCTACGCGCTTTTCTCTTGCTGATTGCCTCTTTTTACTTTCTCACGACGGTTTCACTAGACGGGGCCGCTTCTATCAACGCATTGCTTGTGGCTATGCCTTCAAGATTTTCAACCGGTGTTAGCATATGTTTATCTCCCAAGAAACGATCCTATTCAAGAAGATTAATAATGAAAGGAAGTACTCGCGTTACGTTTCTTCGACATTGAAGCATACGATTCAACATTACGAATTTATGTTGCATTTTTAATTTTTGAAATACTTATATTTTCACGCGCATGTGTCAATATCATAATTCGCAGGGAAAAGTCAGTAAACAAGTTTTCTATTTTAAAACACAGCAGCGTCCAAAACTTTCACGACTTTTGCCAGTAAATGGCACTTAACTATAACCAGTTTTTTAAGTAAGTACCAATTCTGACGTCGGGCTTTCATTTGTGTCTGCGGATCATGTTGCTTGCGTACCGCAAGGGCTGTTCGCCGGAAGGTTGGCAACCTAACAATTGCTTGTGGATTTTTATACAAAGAATGTACGTATTTGGTATTAAGATATTTAACACGAAATCTCGCTATCAATTTCTATTACGTAGGTTGTTGATTGCATGGATCACGTACTGTACTGAATCACATTTTAAAACTTGGTTTTGGTAATTATACGATGATGTGACGCGTTGAGGAACAATGACCGCAGGGCGCTTGAATGAGAGGGGCGTCACCATGCCTGGTAGAGTACATGTATGTACATCGATTGCTTCTAATTCAATTACTGCAAGTCGAGCACCGAGCTCCGCGTTGAACGAACATTCCACATTGACCGATTTACACTTTAAAACATTTTACATAATACATATATTCGCATTGTGAAACGCCGAGAATGAGCGAACATTCATGAATGGGCAGCGTTTATGTGTACACTTTTTGTTTGAGCCTGCGTCTGCGTACGTCGATTATGATATAAGTTATGTTTCCGTATCACGAATTCGAAGCACTTTGTTGTTTTGCCCAGTAAGTAAGGAAAGGGGAATTGTACCTTATATTAAGATAATGGATGACGTATGAATTTATATGGGTTTACATGGACTTTGATACTTGCAAAGGTGCGCAGTGTGCGGATTTGTTGCGTCACGTAGAACTAATTTAATAGTTGAGTGGCATTATTGATCCTCGTATTCCGACTGATTGGCTTAGTGCTCACTAAGGAGTACCAAGTGAAATGAGGACGCTTACGCAACTCTGTACCTTTTGTATGTTGTATGTAATTGATATCTAATCACGCGAACCCACCCGAACGTGAGAACATTTCGTTACTTCGTCGGAAATAGAGCTTGATATTGAAATGGGCAAATTATTTAACACTTAACTCGTCGACTTGCAAAACAGATTCTGTAAACAATAGCTGGTAACATCATCTCGCTTTTGTCTGAACATCAATGGCGCAAGGCGAGGTATTGTCTGAGATTATCTTTTTAATTCGGGTGCCTTGCGATTTCGGCGGTTTCAAAATACAAGCAACATTTTATAAATTTTGGAAGCCATAATAGTAGAAAAAGTCAATTTAACGTTTACCGAATGATATTTCAGATAATGCATTTGGTAGAGGAAGAGGGGTAATTGATCCGGGGTTATCATGACATTTTTCCGTGTCAGGTTCGTTATTGAAGGGAGCCTGCGTGAAGTGAAGCGGTTCTCATTGCATGGCACACGCCGTGCCAGGCTCCGGCAACCCTCCTAAGGCCGCGTGGTCGATATACCACACCCAACATGTATACTTCACTCGCAGTAATTCTCTTTTGTACTTAACAATGAGTCGATATTTTCTATAGTCGTTTCACGAAACTTCGAACAGTGATGCGATATAATCGCTCGTTTCGCGGTCCCGTTTTCATAGAGAGTGAACGCGTCGACACCGGTCACGGTCATTTGTCCGAGTGCTAATGCCGATGGAGTCAGTTTTGTGGCGTCACACTTTACTCCGCGCCTGCTGTCGCCCCAGTACCTGGCCTCAACCACCAAGACGTGGCGAGTTTCTTGACGTGACCGGTGGCGGCGGCGTGCCAACCAAGCCGGGCTCTCTCTGACGCACCGGAACGAAACCCGACTGCTAACTATTGCCCTACTATCACTTTGCCAACAGACGACTCTCGAAAGCCAGATACTAAATCACCGAATGACAGCGACGAAACTACTGACATTCGACGAAATTTGATACTTTAGTCCATTCTCCACTATTTATGAAACTCGAAACCTGCTAATATGATCTCTGTGTCAAATTGTTATTCGACTCTGCAGAAATTGAGTCACGAGTTACCAAGGAATGCATTTATGTCTCGAGCAGGTGCACGTACCCTTGATGCGAGTCTTGTCTACCGCGTAATAATTGCACAATGTCTGTAATTTACTATTGCGCACAATGTTTAGTTTCAGTGTATTATCTCGATTGTGATGATAACACATTTTGTGTTTATTGTAATTAATTATAGTGAATAAGCATCAGCGAAATCAAATAATCATCTCACTGTAGATTTTTGAGAACTTAAATGCCCTTAAGTACTTGTGCTGAGAGTCGTTTAGGTTGGAGCTTTAGCAAGTCGACGAGTCTCGCGTGCTTGCTATGTGACTCATATCTTACCTTCGGCTTGCTACCTTTGCATTCCGTTTATTAACTATGCAAACTTATAAGTTTATTTATTATGCCGTCTTTGTATTATTAGATGTAGTATTGTATACATATATCAATGATAAGTACCAATGTAAAAGATTATAAATAATAATAGATGTGCAAGGTGACTCAATGTGTTAATTTTAATTAACCTGAAGAAACCTTTCAATATGCCATTGCGGGTATTAAAACATGTAGTTTTAATACAATTATAAAAAAAAACTTTATAATTGAAGACAACCCTGTACGTTAGATACGTTTTAAAAGGCAGTTGTCAAGACTGTTGATCCCTTCTGTGACTGATAAAAGAAATGAAGAACCGTGGTTGTCCGTTCACAAGGAGGGCAGCGTTGATACAAAGCCGGTTTTAAACTGTCACTAAGCCGGAATGAGATAAGGCGCAAGGCGAGCCGGAGCGAAGTGAAGATGAGACTCTACCGCCAATTAGTATTGCGTGACAGAGTATAACAGTACTGTTGCATTACATAACATACGTGGGAGCCTAAACACAAGGGAACCAAGTTCTCAGACACGTTGCCGGGTGACGCCTCGCGAGTCGCGATGCCATCATCGTGCGTTTTGCACTCGTGTTTCAGTATTCCGGTGATTCTACAAACACGCAATTATATTAATGATGCATCCACGTCTTGTCACAGATGTTGGTTTATAAGGGGCCAATTTACAAAACCGCTAGAAAAACCTCGTTGTTAAACAACAATCAAAATAATAGTAAAAATTGCTGTTGTGGAACGTTTGCGATGAAGTGAAACGTCGCGCTGGTTTTATGTTACTTGGAATCGTATTCAGACAATTTTTTTATACGTGCTAGTAATGATATTTAATTGGTTAACTGTGTAAAAATAATAAAACAATATTATAGGTAGTTTACTAGCAACATTGCACCAAAATTAATTCTACACCGAATAAAAAAGAAGTGATGGAAATAATAAATAAGATGTTATAATTGTTATGTTATGTAACTTGTAGGAAATTAAACTATTTTTCCGGATTTAAATCGTGTATATTTGTCCTGTAAAGGGCCCGAAACGTTTTGTTTGAAAAAAATAAATATACGCGATTTAAATCCGGAATCAGTACAGAGTACTAAAAAACCGACCTCAAAAGTACGTGGAACTACGTCTATTTGCTAAGTTTTATTGAAATATCCCCACTTCGCCACTATACAGGACTTGACACTGGACATAATAAAAATAGGTTCTCACTACGACACTACACAAAGTATATTGAGAGAAAAACGCCTTGAATTGGAGAAATAGCAAAATCAACCATTGAAGTAATTGCTCCTAAATTAAAGTTAGGCGCTATTTATAAAAATGAATCATCATGCGTGAACAGCCACCCTTCGAAGTGGATGATTTTCTTCAAAATGAAATGGGACCGGAGTTATCGCGTAACATACATAAAAAAAAGAACATATAGTCGAATTGAGAACCTCCTCCTTTTTTGACAACCCTTGAAACCGTTTTTGATAAGAGCTAATAACTTACATAAATAAATAACAGTTACGTAGACAAGTAAAAACGGTGCTCTTTTAAGCGCTACTAACTACTTACTAACACATAAAAATTCACATGTGAAACTTATATTTAGTAGTAAAGCATACACGCTCTGGGAACGATCGCATTTTGTCCTTGTTTTTTTGTGGGTAACATTACCTTAAAAGAAAAAAAGTGCAAGTTAATCGAGAGGGTTAGTGATATCTGAATCCCGATGGAGTCGTGAAATTGTGAAGTGTATTGTATCGTCTAAACGTGTGGCGCGGGCGCAATGTGGATAGCTCCACTTGTTCCGCCCCTATGCACTTGCTAGGGGTCGCTGCTCAGCTCAAAGTTTTTGCACCCATCTCATTATTTTAACTCAAGCGTTCCCACGCTGCACTTAAAATAGTTTTAACATGTTCATAGGTTACTAAACCCAGTTTGTTTAATTTTGTATGCGGCGAAGTTGCAAATATACGAGCTTGCCGCATATCACCAACACTGTTTGTTTCGTAGAATAGAGTAATTTGTAGCTCAAAGGTTCGCCTGTTTATATGTATTAGGATTCAATTATTAATACAGGGCTGTAAGAGGCCATATTTAACAGTCATTATGATTTTAACACAGAAATAAAAGAGGCTAGTGTCTATAGGCTTCTTTTTGGTATCTAAACCAATCGATCAATTTCTTACTGTTCGGTATACTTACACAAATTTATAAATGGCTACTTCTGTTTACAGTTTTTACTGTAAGTTTTTTTCATATACTGTTCCTATACGTACTCACGTAGTTTTTATCAAAATAGTAATAAGTGCGGTACGTCTAGTTTGCGAGATCAGCGCTCGTCACAGGAAGGGGCAAGGTCGGCGACCAAGCGTGAAGTTCCGGTACCATTGACAACCTCCTTTGCTACATGGCACATTTGGCCCTTTACTGCTGGGAAAATAAACGACTAACCCCGATTTTGTTATGCGTAAGACAAAACCACACTATTTACACACTATTTATCTGTATCAAGTAATATAATATCTGCATATTTAGAAATTGTCCCAAAAATAATAAATCAATTTCATTTTAACGTTAACAGACTTATCACTAATTTACAGTTGTCATTGTTACGGTGGTACTACAAGGATACAGTCGTTGAGGACTGGTTACCTAAGTTACCGAGACGTGTTTGTTTACGTGCCAACGATCTAAGTATCTTAATGTGGATATTATTGTGCGATCTTGGGCAACAGACCCATGCTTGTGAGTAAATGGATAATTTTAGTTTTAAAATAACACTGATGTTGAGTCGAAGTGGCTCTGGATCTACATTGAATACGTACCTTGTACTTACCATACGTGTATTGCATTCGAATAGCGGAAGCGAGACCAACCATAACAACGCTGACGGGTGTTTCGGTTACTGACGGCTAACACTAATAAACTGGTTTCGGATGAAAACTGAAATAGGAAGCACGATTCCGAATAACGCGAAACGAATACGATGAACTGTACTATAATGTACATATCGATACTTTAAATGTAACATAACAAGGTCGATAAGATTGGTAGAGATAAAAACCCTTGGTTTCATTGACCTATTAGTTTTCTCACACTAAAGACAATAATTTTTTATCGTTCATGTAATTTGGAGAGTCGTTTATATTTCGAAGTCGACAAATTAAAACGAATGATAATTCATTGTCATCATCAATCAATCATTCAACTTGATAAAGTTTTCATTCTCCTTTTCATTATTTCACGTTTATGTTTTCTGTTTTTAAATGCTAGGTAGTTCTTATATGTTGTTACATAGTTTTAAATAGTTGCTTGGCCGAAAAATGATCGTACCTATGCTTTTTAATCGATTGATGTGCCATAAAATTACATAAATATTTATCTACTTCCACCTCGAGTAAAGAGTGAGGATTTTACGGGCATTGGTGGTCGATCGTTTCATGACCGGCGCGAGGGCCATATGTTTACGTTATAAATACAGCGCAAGCGTGCTCGTGTAGGTGCGCCGGCGCATGATGTATGCCAGGAACCGCCCACTTGCAACATTTTTATTCTATACGTTACTTTTAGTTTTACCTACCTAAATAGAATGGAAAAATCCTCATTATATATTTAATATTACCTTCACGAAACATAAGGTGTCCTATTCAAATCTTGATTAATTAAGGTAGTCGATTATAGAAAGCGCTTCTAAATAAGCTCAACCGCATGACCTCAATTTGTTCTATACCATGGAATGGTTACTATAGCTACTATATTTGCTTTATTTCACAGTTTCACCGATATTTTTTGGTTCCGGTTTACGTTTCGCAAGGTATCGGTATCGTCAGACTTGGTCGGTCTAAGCGATTGTTACATCAATCAAAATTTAGTAAAGAAAATGACAGGTGATCGGAAACAACGCTGTTTGCTAACTATTAGCTGAGATATCGGTGTAGCCACCAATAACAGGTTCACATGATTATTATTCGTCATGTTCCAGGTGACGAAATTCTACTTATTAACTCCTATAAACTGTAATTCGCCAGGTATTGTCGAGTATCATATTGTCGTGTTATCAAACGTTATCACTGTATAAATTCTAAAATTATCTCATTTATATAAATAACATTTTCGTTGTAACACTGTAGGTGCGGCTATAAAATTCGATTTATGGTTGCTCTTTTCTCTCGGGTTATTCAGGTCGACGAGAGAAATTGCTTAGTTTACATGTTACATTCCGTGTTGTTAGCATCAGGTGTACTGCAGGTAATTAACGATACACTCTTTTGGTCGTTTGTTAGCCCCAAACGCAATCTCAAATAATCTTTATTTCATAGTTAAGAAAATTACACTTGAAATCGTAACATTGATTAAACTCTGCTATTTCATCGTAAGGGACTGTGCCCCCTTGACAATAATCAGTAAGAAAGTAGGTGTTGATCTTTGTAAATAAACATATTTGTAAATATTCATCATTTATCATAGATCGAGACAACCTGAAAGAGCTATACGAGTTATTGCCGTGGATTTTTGTCACTCAAGTACGCTGAAGGAGTGTAATGCAATTTTCTTACTTACCACTTAGTGTAAAGCTTTGTTTCCATACATACGTAAATGGCAAATTTTGGATATCTATTATAGAAGCGTATATATTTAACTTTGTAAAGACTGTCAAGAACAGCTAGTTTCTTTTTATTCCTCGTGTCAATGTAAGGTTTATCATGAAATTTACTCTGTTTAGTTATATCACATTATAGGAGCTGCGGTGTCTTACGTGAAAATTGTGACGTAGAGATTTCTTTTGTTTTATGATCTATATTTTACTTTGCATTTTACTCATTTCGAATTTAATAAGATTTTTTGTTCCTGTCACGCCTCCTACAGACATAACATTTCAGAACCCAACCCAAGAGAACACCTGTTCGCTGACAGGCTTAACGATACATAAGTCACGTCGACATTAATTTTGATTCTCCATTCTTTCTTAGGGCTCAACTAATGAGAATTGTGTAACGTACAAACTATAAAACAGGTCGCGCCTCTTCTGAAGAATTCTCGCGCAGTTCGGGAATACCCTCAGCTGCCGTATCGTATCTAGTTTGTACGTTACACAATTGACATAAAGATTTTTTTATTAAAAATTATACGATGTGCAATTTCGTTGCAAAAATTCGCTTTCGTTGCGTGGTAATGTGAATGGAGCCCATGAAGTTCACTGTGAAGTTAGATTCGTACTTAGATACATGAGCTATATTTCGACCACCAACAAACACTGTGTGCAGTTTTTATACAGCGTGTTTGTATACAAGCTAATCAGTTATCAATTGCCTTAATTAAGTGCAAGCATATAAAGCAATACAGAGTTCCTCATTATCATTTTAGTAGCAGTAGAACTCCTTGTAAAAGAGTTCGTCCAGGGTAATACTGCCACCTTATCTATTTCTGCCACCAATCAGTAATGCCAGCATTACCGTGTTCCGGTTTTGAGGGGTAAAGGTGCTGGTGACATTACAGGCGCATGGGACTTGTCAACTATGTCTCAGGGTGACGGACGTAGTGGCAATGCACCTCAGATCTTTGCAATTTAAAGCTCGTGTGTGGCACTGTAACTGTTATGGACAGGCGTGTAGCTTACCATCGGGCGCACGACTTGTTCGTCCCGTCACTTGATGTAATAAAAAAACAGAATTCCAGAATATCATATTAGGCTTATTTCCATCTAATCCTGTAAACAGATCCTCTGGCGGATCCGTTTTATTTCATAATATTTATCTATTTTCCATCGGAGAATAGAATTTTTTATTCTCATAAAAAAATCTATTTTATTCCCGACTGATACCCTGGTACTTACAAGCATAATTTTAGTAGATACTGTGATACAGTCAATCCGAAAAACGTTTAAAAGCTCCAATAGATGACGCACATTTGCAAATTGTGCATATTAATAAATATAAATTACAGTTAACAAACCTACTAACAAAGCGACGATTAAGAAAAGAAATAGCAATCGATAAATGGCACGAACACGTCACTGACCAACTTTTGACTGGGAATATCACAGTTAGCCACTGTTTAGAAAAATTTCGGTTTGAAATATTACATATTACTGATTTTTTGTTACTAGTGATATAATATGTTTACTTGTCACAAAAAAATGTCTGATAATTATAACATTTTATCACAATCGCTCAATAAATCAATATTTGATTTTATGACTTCTTTTTTTCTTGACTGTACTTACCTTACAAATACAATAAGGGGATCGGTTGGGAGTTGCATAATAGGTGTACACTGGATCGTTGGTATTTAAAATTGGCGGTGGATCATTTGTAGGGGATTAACCTCATGTTACACTGAAATTTTTGTAAATATAAATTACCTTTATTTCATATGTAACCAAATTATACATCACAATGGTAAATTTCCCTGTATTAAGATACTATTGTTCAAAAGTATTCTAAGATCGCATTTACCTGATTACGAAATTATCCTGGATTTTATTTCTAAGATATCACTACACTTTTTCGATGTAGCTTTGGTGGATCGTAACTGAAAACAATGTGCATTGAACGGTGTGATCGTGTAATAATTAATGATGTGTCATTCTCATTAGCTGCCAATTATCGTATTGTTCAAATACGCATGATATCTTAGTAGTACCATAAGGAGTATCTAGACAATAAGAGGTAACACACTATACTGGTCTGGTGTGGGTTGTCTCCACTTGTTAACATGAAGCCGGTTTTCTTGTAACGCTTTGTTTTTATACCATATCTATTATTCAAAGTATACTAGTTTCTTTGGCCCTTAGTGTTGGCTTTGAGCTTTCGACATTAATGTTTATGGTTTTTATTGAAATTAGCACTTTAAAATTCTTCAACATGTTGCATGTTATTGATGTGAGCCATGGTAAGGAAACACATGTAACTTGTCAGACATTAATTGATTACTAGAAAGCATCATTTGAACAGGATTTTATGATAATTTCAGGTTGACTTGATGCGGTGACACGATGGACGCGGCGGATAAGCGGATGCTGGAGCGCGAGGCGCTCCGTAACATGATCCAGCAATGGAACGCTAACCGCCTCGACCTCTTCGAGCTCAGCGAACCTAATGAGGTTAGTCCAGTATAAAACATCAGGATGTAATGTAATGTACCGTATGTCATAAATTATAAATCATATTCTAATTAATGTCCAATCTTCAACGAAATCGGTGTAGCCATTTTGGCTTGATAGAATAACAAAATTGTGAAAATTCTTCGGGTTTTTTTCCAATTTGATTATTTTTTTCAAAATGTAGGTTTATTCAAAGATATTAATTACAGTAGTGGTATATATATTTTTCCGTCTAACCGTAATTAAACAAAGATAGCTAGCGTATAGTAACGTGTTTTCGTTGACGTAGCTAGGCTTAATGGCCAAATGCAAATAATATTGTTGTGAACTAGACGACTTTTTCAAGACTGTTTTGGTCGTTTTAATAAGTATCGAGGTGTAATACGGAAGAGCATTACTCAATAAAGACGCTGTCAGAGGAGAGGTATTGCCTTGAAACTGAAATCGTTAAGAGCTTTATTTATTTAAACACTTTATTGTACCACAAGTAACTTACAAATTTTCAGAAACAATTTGAATATTTGTGTACAAAGGCGAGCTTATCCCATAAAGAGATTTCTTCCAACTAACCTTTGAAAATCTGAGAGGAAAGTTGGTTTTTGGGGTGGCACTAAAAATAGATAAGAGAAATGGAATTTACTATACTCAATAAATACACAGATAAATTTAATAAATCATATACGAATACATATATATTAAGTAATGTTGATACATTAATACATACAAAGTCTATAATAAAATGAATGCACAAATAAAACTATAAATAAATATATCAAATGTAAATAAATATTTCAAAAGCTCCAACATGTGGAGTTTGAACAATCCCAAAATTTCAAAAGAGCACCCTTGAAAACCCGAACCGAAGGCGATTGTCTGACCTCGACCGGGAGAAGGTTCCACATACGGGCAGCATTTACTGTGAACGAGTTCGAATATTTTTGGGAACTGTGTTGTGGAAGGACGAGGGGCAAATTGGTGCCAGAACGCAAGCGGTCACCCATAGCCTGACGGTATTGAAAACGCTCACGTAGATAGCTAGGTGAAGTGGGATGGAACAGGATTTTATGGAGGAAGCATAAAATGTGAGCATTTCTACGTAAACGAATAGGCAACAACTTCAACTCATCTCTAAACTTGGAAATGTGGTCGTACTTTTTCAATCCAAACACAAATCTGATACATTGATTTTGCAGCCGCTCCAATTTATTAAGAAGGTCCTCCGAAAGATCAAGATAGGAGACGTCACCATAGTCCAGAATAGGAAAAAGAAGAGTGCGTATGAGCATAAATTTGGTAGACAGAGGAAGAAAGTACTGTATCCGCTTGAGGGAATGAAGTGATGCAAAGATTTTACGACTTACATCGGCGACATGCTCCGACCAAGAAAGTGTCTGATCCATTATGATGCCCAAATTTTTAACTGAAGTGGAAAAAGAAATAATGGTGGTGGTTCAAAACTAAATTGGGCATCACCATAGACTCAAACTTGGAGATGGAATGGCGACTGCCAATAATTATGGCTTGGGACTTTTGTGCATTTAAAAGAAGTCCGTAGTTCTTAGCCCATACCGAAACCTTTTGTAGGTCGGATAGCAGTAACTACATCTTCAAGACGGGCTGCAGTATAGATTTGAAGGTCATCGGCATAGAGATGGAAAGAAGACGTGAGTGATGATGTGATTCCACCGATAAAGACGGAAAAAAGCCTGTGGAATGCCAGCCGTAAGGCTACAACAGTCCGAGTGCATGTCACCGGTCTTTACGAGCTGGGAACGACCAAACAAATACGAACGAAACCAGGATTCGGCTAAGGGAGGTAGATTTAAAGTTCTAAGCACAGCAAGAAGCAAATTAAAATCAACAGTACTGAAAGCACTGCTGAAATCCAATAAAGTGAGGACAGTAACTTTTTAATTTTCTATATTGAGACGAATGTCGTCAGTGATTTTCACCAGAGCAGAAACCGTGCTATGGCCCGCTCGAAAACCAGACTGCAGATGGTTGAAAATATCGTATTGTAGGAGGTGGGCAGTGAGTCGATTTGAGGACATAGTGCTCAAGGATTTTGGACAATACAGGAAGTATGGAGATAGGGCGATAATGGGAGAAAGAAGAAGGATTTGATTTTTTAGGGAGAGGAATTACATGGGCTTGTTTCCATACAGTGGGAAACACACCACTGGAAAGGGAAAAATTGAGAATATGAGCTAGGATAGGAGCTACTAGGTCCTGTATTGGAGTGATCATATCAAGACTCAAACCGTCATTACCAACAGCCTTCGTGGTGACAGACTTAAGTATTTTCAACACATCTGCTGTCGTAACCTTCCCAAAATCAAAAGACTCTGAAGCAAGACAAGGGGCGTTGGCCAGGACAGATAAAGTTCGCGATTTTATGACAGAATCTAAACATACTGGGGAAGATGCAAAGTAGTCGTTCAGCGCGTTAAGATCGACATTGAAGGGAAAGACATGAGCAGCTTTACCGATACCCAGTGACTTCAAATATTTCCATATCTTAGTATGCGGACAACCTTCGATAGTGGAGTGAATATGTTTACGCTTGGCGTTCCTACAGAGCTTGTTGCAGCGGTTACGTAACTCGATGTAGGACCCACTATTGATTTCGGTTGGATTCTTCCGCAATCTGATACGTGCTCTGTTGCGCCTCTCCATAACCTCCTTGATATCTGGAGTGAGCCAAGGGGCGGGGAAATGTTTGACTCGGACAACTTGAAGAGGAGCATGCTTGTCAAAGATGGTCAAAATAATAGAGTTAAAAGCTTGAACCATTTCATTCACGTCCTCCGCTCCAAACACTTGCTCCCAATCAGAATTCAGCACATCATCAAAAAGGGCATTTTTGTCTATTTTACCATAATTGCGGAGCATTAAGGTTTTATGTCTGCGCTTAGGTGGACGAATTTTGAACGAAGCATAAATTAAATCGTGTGAAGAAAAAGCAGCAGCATTAAACTGCCCATGAGAATCAACCAGCTCAGGAGAAGAAGTGACGATCAAATCAAATCAAGAAGGGAACGTTGACCATTATGCGGAAAGTGAGTGAGGACACAACTCGAGGCAGTTCAAATAAAGTGAGTGGAAGAGTGAAAGCAAGTTCCTCGATCGGCAGTCACTCTTAACAAGGCAGGTATTGAAGTCACCCATGAGTATAATATGTTCGTAGTGGGTACGTAGATCAGCCAGAACCGAATCTAGTTGCTCAAAGTAATCAACTCTTAGGTGAGGACTGTAAAAAACTCCCAGTAGGGCCCTAGTGTGGTAAAGAGTGACTTCCAAAAAAAGATATTTAGGAGAGTCCGCGCTAGTCACCGACTGTGCTACGATCTCGCAGTCAATGTCACATCGTAGATAAATCGCTACGCCATCTTTTGATCTAATCTCCAAATTGACCTTACAGTTGTTACTTTTACGAATAAAATATTATGATTATTGACAGTTGACAATGTCTATGAATAAAGTACATATTTAATATAAAATATTACTTACTTTTACTCGCGACTTTACCGCGTGAAGTGCACTATATAAATTGCACTATAAAAAGGTAGTTTTCGATGCATTACATCAGCTTAGTCTTTAGCGAAAGTTTGGAACCGAATAAAGAACATTCTTGCACGATGTTTTTACGTGACTCATGCAATTGTATGCTTGATAAACAATTTGCGTAGATAAAAAAAGTCAACACTCTTTATCTTAGGAGGTTCTAACGAGTTCTAGTTGATAACACTGTTTCCGCTTTAAATTCTTGGTAAGGCATTTATGTACTCTGTCTCGTAGTAAAACACCTTTACAATCTATTTCGACATAGATTACTAATATAGATTACTGTCCAGGGCATTAACATCCAATTGTGTTCGTTTACCTTAGAAGTTTGGTATTTTTTAAATATCAGTAACAACATTAAATAGAATACTTACTAATAACGAAACGAACAAATGCATTGAATTTAAATTAGATTTCGTTTGAGTTTAAACGAATCGACTTCATTTTATGTTACAAGTCAAATTTTACTTCTTTTTGTGACAGCCAGGGCCACTGTACTGTTTGCCATACAATATTGTAAAGTATTTCACGCTGTCGCGACCACTGTGACTGTAAATTCATTATAGAGGCACTGCGGTATAGGTGCGCATGAGTTAGTACAGTCTAAATATGTACACCAAATATAGTAATAATAATAAAAATTACAAAATACCATAGGGAGCACCGTTCTCTACTGAACGTTTTGGCCATTGATATTTTATTATATTGTATTGGCTAATACATGAAATACGATCGGTATAGATTTGCTGTAATTACCCAATAAGTAAAAAGTGGTCGAGCTCTCGCGAGTGGCTGAATGAATCGAACCACAAAAGAAAAGAATAACGCCACAATATCTTCTTTAGGTAGTAGTGGTTTTGAGTTTTATTATAAGGTATATTAAGGGTCATATTCTAGAACTCTAGTCAATGCTCAAGTCAGGATTTGAGTATGGTTTAAAGCACTCGAAATCATACTCAAGTCCCTGCCATTAGGGTCGTATTTCCAGTGCTTGTGTTTCCATTGCAATCCTGACTTGAGCATCGAGTAGCGTTCTAGAATACGACCCTTAGTGTTGTATGTTTCAGAACTTGGAATTCCATGGAGTTATGCGATTTTACTTCCAAGACTCTGGTCAGAAGGTAGCCACGAAATGCATCCGCGTCGCGTCAGACGCTACAGTCAGCGATGTCATAGGTAAGAGTGAATCAGTAAATAATTTGTTCATATTTGCGATCACCGGTTAGAATGTGTACTATTAATAATATAAGACTTTATATACTTACATATTATATATTGTTAAATTATACTCCTTATTGGTCGCGACGATTGAATTTTAAACAGGAGATACGAACTGCTAAAATGTAGTAACTAAATAATTGTTAGCTTTTTCTCATAATTTTTTACTCTTTGAAACTCACCCATCGCGGTTTGTCGCAACAAACCTCAAAATAATTTGAATCGGCTGACAATGGAATGTGAAAATGATAAATTGCCTTTATCAAAGCGTTCTGTTTATGAAGTACTGTGTTTGTATCATCTATTTTGGATAGGAATTAATTCGATACTCATTTAAACAAACATGTGTCCCATCACTGCTGACACTGTTAAACTTCTGTTAAACTTTTAAAATGTTAAAACGTTTATAAATTAATTTGTTCCATAGGGAAGAATTGGCAAGACATGCTAGGGTAGGGTATTTACAATGTATCTCATATGACTACTATAGAGTTGCAGTTAACTTAAGAGCACTAAGATCTCTAATAATTATTCTCTAATTGCTACCATAAAGTTCCAACATGTTCTTGATACAAACACATGAGTGACATTTACCCAAACTTCCAATATTTGTCTATTAAAATTCACAACCTTTGAGAATGTATAAATCTAAACTATCACTCATTCACATGCACACGGCATGTTGCAGAAAAATTTTTTACATTTTATGTCTCATCTTAAGAACTACAATACATTCTTTTAATTAATCAAAGCAAGATATACATAGTAGTTACTTAATGAAGTTTTAATGATTACTGGCCGTTTATGCATTTAGGCGATAATATTTAATATTGTATTTCGACAGAGATCCTGATCGAAAAGTTCCGTCCAGACATGCGCATGCTGTCACTCGGGTCTTATTCGCTGTGGGAGACACATGGGCCCGACGACGAGCGTAAGCTAGAGCCTCACGAGAAGCCACTTTTAGTGCAGCTTAACTGGCACGCCGATGATCGCGAGGGACGCTTCTTGCTCAAGTGCCATAGCAGTAACGAGGTGATTATTAAATTAAAAAAATAAAACACGAATATATATTATTAACCTCAGTATCTGACATAATATAATATAATAATAATAATAATAATATAATAAAACATGTAAAAAGTATAGCCAAAAGTGCCGTTATTATTTTAAAGTTAAAAAACAAAACGCGGGAAAAGGTTGTAGAACTGTAACCATTAAAAGAGGTACATATACACTGAAGTTCAGTCTAAAGTTCAGTAAAAATGTCACAGTCCCCTTGATAACATAAAGGCTGTAATAAAAGTCGGATTGTGGTGACTGAATTCGTTTGTTTTTATGAGTTCATTGGCCCTCACAATCAAGATTCTGAACCCCAAGGGGACCACCTAACGCAATTGGTCACCAACATTCGATATATAATGTTTTGCAATAAATCAATACAATGCAAAAATGGAATTTAGTTTGCCGATTTAAAGGAACTTCAACTACCTAAAAGGATAATTTGATTACCTTGAACTTTGCACCTCAAATCGAAAATAAATAAAAACGTAGTGTCATGACAATAGTTAGTAAATTGTTGTAATATTTAGCTAATTTATATTAGCAAAATAAATATTCAAAATGCAAATTCGGCTTTCGCAAAGTCGACATATTACAAATGCCGTGCTTAATTTTTCGACTCATTGTTTTCAGGTGCCTTTATTGTCGGTCAACGAAAAGGGTGATCAAAATTTTAAGCGAAAATTATCTAAGAGAGAGAAAAAAGAACTAAAGAAAAAAGAGAAACTATCCCGTTTGAAATCTGATACCAATAATGAGAATCGACCTGTGGCTGAAAAATTATACACAGGTATATTTATAATTTTAATCGGTTGTTTGATTTCATATTGATTCTATTTGTTAAATCATAATGAAACTACTTGATATTATGAATGCTCTGCATTGATTTCACCCGTTCCCTCTATCCTTTCATACCTTTGGCTAGATAACCTTTATTATAAAGGAGGACATCAATTATACCACCTGGTTTTCCCCGGTTTTTCCACTCCTCCATAAATGTTTAATTCTGGCTCCTGTTCTGCTTTTTAAAAATATTATTACGTCATATGCAGACACATAATAATTAATTATCAGCATATTATTTCGTTGCTAACAAATGTTATGAATAATGTCTGAAATAAATTTTAATTTTATTATCATTTTTATTATTTGGTGCAGAGCTGCCGGAGACATCGTTCACGCGCAGCATCAGCAATCCGGAGGCGGTGATGCGTAGACGTCGGCAGCAAAAGCTAGAACGGAAACTACAGCAATTCCGGTCCAAGGACGGCGGTCCAGACACTGGTCAGTGTTATATTTGGTTATATTTAATATTCCTTGTGCAATTAAACTTTCTTGTTATATTGCTTTACGGGGTACAGTAGTGATTTCTTTTCCAATCTATAACATTACAAACTTTAGTTCCGTTTCCTTCGTCGTTTTCTAATTTTAATTCGCTGTGGTCTAGCTCATCTACAATATGAGAACACGTATGACTCGAGCTCTTGCTAGACTTCGTGGAGCATTCAGTCATAAAGCAATTTTATTTCTGAATACCTGTGGCCCAACGGCTTACAGTGTATACTGTGGGCGCTGGATGAGATGCCGGGTTCGATTCCCGGTAGGACCAAATTGGGAAAAACTTTTCTTAATTTGCTCGGCTTTGGGTGTTCTGGGAAGTGGCAGACAGTGAATTCCATTGCTCTGATCCTTATAGCACAGGGAAGTCCCTAGTTCGAGACCAGGCAATTGGTGTGGTTATCTGCCACATTATTATTATCTATTTTAGACTCTCGCCTCTCCCAAGACCTAAAAGATTGATTTAGAATTTATTACTATTATTATTATTGTTCACAGGAGGAACGCTTAAAATCTACGGATCATCACTATGTCCAGATGTGCCTTATAAAACTTTACTATTGTCTGTGGGAGACACGGCTGCTAGTGTTGTTCGCGAAACGCTAGACAAATACGGACTTTCGCGACAAGATCCGCAGCAGTTTTGCATTGTCCAGGTTAGTAATTGCAACATTTGTTATTGCTTTTCAGTTCATGTGGCATACAATGTTTTTCATCCCACATGCAAGGAAGTGTAAAGCAAAGGTAAATTAGGCTTAAAAATTACATTTCATTTAAATTATGTTTACAAAATTATAAGTATCTCAAAAAATATGAAGAATAATATTTTAGTGTGAAAACTTTTTATTTTAACGTTATATATGAATGAAACGAAAAATCTTTTAAATTTACGTGTGCCATGTTATCTATTTTATTTCTGAGAATATGCTTATGAAAATGACAAATGCGATAAGTCTAAATGAATTTATATTAGTTTTATAAAATAAAATAAAAGTGTATTGATTTTTGGGGTCGCCGTAGCTAAACCGGTAGTTTGTCCGTGTCCCTACCTAGCGGAGGAAGCATGGAAATAAATGAAAAATTACCCTCCTGGGACCGTATGTTTAAAATACCGCCTAGTTTTGTTATAATGTTAAAATAGAGTTATGTTCATTAGTATTGTGAGGGTCAGTGTATGTATGTATTGTGAGTGTCAATGTATGATTTATTCGTTTAGGTGGACACAGCAGACAATTCGGAGTCCATCTTGGAGGATGACGAGTGCCCGCTAGCTATCGTGATGACGCATCCCCACCGCAGTGAGTAATGTTTTATACGACCATTGATTTATACTTTATAAGCGCTTACTAGATTTTTGCATTACTGCTTGCATTTATTATGTTTGGCCGCAACACAAATGACGTCTTTGCGCCGAATTGTAGTAGATTTGAATTACTATTTCATTACTAACTGCTGCATAAAATGTGATTTTCTTAAATTTCCAACGTGCGTCACTAGTGACGGGCAAATTAAATGTCGACACCTACGCGGAATAATATATTTTTAAGTATTTTTTTTTTATTAGCAGTACCTGGAGCTTTTTTTTTGTAATACCAAGTAACGGGACGAACAAGTCGTGCGCCTGGTGGTAAGTGACACGCCTATTTATAACAGATGCAGTGCCACTCAGAGCTTTAAATCGCAAAGATCTCGAGGCACTGCCAGTGCGTCCGTCACCCTGAGACATAATTTGACAAGTCCCACATGCCTGTAATTTTACCACCATCCCTTACCATTCAAAACCGGAACTATCTGCGTTCCGGTTTTGAATGGTTGGTTTGGTATGGTGGCTGTATTTCCCTGGACGAACTCCTTTACAAGGAGCTCTACTGCTACTAAAAAAACTTTCCCTGGGAAAGAGTTCGTCCGGGGAAGTATTGCCATCTTACCTATTTTGCCGCCAAGCAGTTTCCTGCTGCCTAAACGTTCTTAATCAATATTAACTGACAACGTACTTTGAAACCGACACTGGCCCAAGCCTAGTGTCCGCCAAGGAGATATAATAATGTGAGCATTATTGTATTCCGGTTTTGAAGGGCAAGGGCGCGTGTACACGTTAAGAAAACCGACGTGTCTGCTACAGAAAAGATGAGAATGGTCTTGTACACGACAAGAACTTTGTCGGAGTTAACCACGAAAACATGTCGTGTCTGTTGCAGACTAGAAAAAGATGAGTATGTACACGATACGAATGCTTTTGGACAGACGTGTGTAGGGTAAAATGTGTCAGTGCATTACGAGTCTTCCTACCAACTGTGGGAAGAAATATGTTGTTGTGTATGTTGACTACTAAGCAACACCCGTCCACGCGCATAAACAGTCGTTTACTGACAATGCACCTCACGCATACAATAGCGGCAGAGCGCGTCGTGTCGGGGGTAGACAAGATTTTTTTCTTGTCCGGCGCCGAGGCCGTGTACACAGTTCGTGTGGTAGAAACGACACGAATTCTTGCGTAGACTATTTTTATTTTCTTATTAAAAATATTTTACAAAATAGAATACTTATTAATCGATAAAAATGTTTGGGACTTGCGTAATACATCAATTGTATATGAATAATATATAATGTAACTGCACTTGAACAGCCTGTACGCTGTACTCATCCAAACGTCAAACTCAGAGGTGGAATATTTTCTTCAAATTTAAATGGAACCAATACTGGGGATGCCCCAACAAAAAATGAATCACCATAATCGGTTTACAAATGCCAGGGTAATCACGTAACATACATAAAAAAACGGTCCAATTGAGAGCCTCCTACTTTTTTGAAGTCGGTTAAAAACTGAGCCACGTACAGAATAGATGAGCACTGTATACTTGTTATAGTCACATTTGTGAAGGCAATCATATGACAGATTTTTGTAAAAGATTTAATTTGCAACATGTCTAGCATAGATGTATAAATATTAATAAAAAATAAAGTTTGATTGTACTAAAAATATATGACGTATTTTTAGGTATAATCATAAAAACAAAAAGTAGTATAAGAGTTAACGCAGTTTTATTATTATATTATATTATATTATATTATATTATATTATATTATACATATATTATATAGTATCGCAGGGTACCGTAAGTGGTGTTATAGGATTAGAAGAAAATTGGAATATAAAAGTAACATACTTTCTGCACTGAAAATAGCGGAAAGTTGCGCGTTTATGATCTTTATTCTCACTGCCTTAAGTTGGCTGGAAGATATCTCTTTTAGAGATAAGTCCACCTTGGTTCACCTCTGCTATAATTTATATTTCTTTGTATAACGCCGTAATAACCCGCACTCGAAGCGAGCAAAATTTTGCCGCGCTCGGCTTCTGTCAGCGCTGTCCGTACACCACCGCTTCCTCGCCTCACGCGTTTCGTACCACAAGATGGCGGAGACCACCGTTCGCGTCACACGCGAACGGTGCTAGTTTTTTTTATTATAGACTGACATTATAATAAAATTCGTGTAACACCTTCAATGTTTCAGTTATTAAAATGTTTTTAACATTATTGGAGTTTTACATTTGTAATTTTTTTCGGTGCAACATAGTGAAGTAAGGTTCCACCATATCAGATTACCGGTCTTTAAATATTTTCATTAAGGCTTTATTTTTTGACTTCGACTAAACATGAAAGTGTCAATCATGTCTGAGGGGCTGGGAATATTTGAGTTTACCCCTAATTGTATTTAAGAAAATAACTATCACGAATCGTGATATTTCGTGAATTCGTCTTTCGTATTGTTTGAATGAAGTATATACTCATGGATTACCACGGCGTATATGTATTTCAAAATTTTTTGTTTATTTCGCGGGTGGAGTCGAAACTTTAATGTTCATAAAAATATTTTTTTTATATAAGACTGATATGAGATAATTAAAATTTGGTAAATGGAATACGAACTATGTTCTAGTCTAATATTATTTTATTTTAATTTCCTCGCAAGCGTGATGAAACATCCTATGTCCCTCCCTTCGTAATTACCTACTTACCGCCTTGTAACATAATGTTGTAAACGTTACATATTATTATTAGTCATTAAATATTATTATCAGTCCACACATTTTTATTAGTCTATACATACGCTAATATCGCAATTCTGGCACAGCTTTAAAATGTCAAACGTGGCAAATAAAAAAATGTGTCTAATGTTTTCGAATGAATACTTCACCTACCATTCGTCGAAAACTACATTAGCTGGCTTCACTCTTAAACATCAATCATCGACATGACTTCAGTGCTTCACTCATTGACAAGCAGGGCAGTTTCTATATGCGTTCATAAGATAAATAAATTATGATTTTTTTACTTGGGATGCTGTATGTTCTAACCACTATGTGGTCTGTGGTTCTAACTTTTTACGTGGAAGCCGTATCACACGAGAGCTTTGTTTAAACCTAGACGACGTACATGCACAATACACACGTATATCGATGACCAAGGTGGCGGGAAAAACTATTGAGCGCTAGTAAAACCAATTTAGGTAACATACTTTTATAATTGGTTCTGGAACAATTTTTAATTGGTTAAACCTAGGTGTGGTTGCTTGACACATTTACATACAAAACTGATGTATGATTGTGTTTGTTTTGTATTATTTGTTGTAAAATGTTGCCAAATAAATTATTTTTCTTTCTTTCTTTTCTTTCTTTCTTTCATATTATTGACATGTAATACCGCCGTGATGTCGCGACTACGTCATTTCATGATTACGCTCCAACAAAGAAATTACTCTTATTTTCAACATCGCGTGTCGTCTCATGTTGTAGTAGTGCCTTAGATTAGGCTTATAGTGCACTTTCATTTGTAGCGTACTGTAGAGAGGCACTTTTTAAAGACAAATTAGGACTGTATCCATGAATACAATATTTATTACGTATTTTCAGATCTAAGCCTGTTGTAGATATCTACTAGATACCAAGATATGTTCTTTTTTCATCCTATTTTATATTATACAACTCCAAACACAAACCTACATTCATTCAGCCAGTATTTCTAATCACACTGCTTAGTCTACAGTACTATCTTGTATAACTTAACTGCCTCCGTGGCCAAACGGTTACCATGCTGGGCTGCCACTCAGAGGTCGCGGGTTCGATTCCCGGACCGGGAGAGACATTTGTGGGGCCTACACTTATTTACTTCATGAGTTTGAGTGTAATTTGTGGTATTCTATGTTTGTGTCCATGATACCCACGATACATGGTTTCCCTAGTGCGAGGTTATGAGTGTGTGCGTTATTATTATAAGATTATAACCCGTAATAAATGAATTAATATGAAATTAAGGTCGTGTAAGTTAATTAACGCAGTGTTACAATGATCGCCGCGCGTAGCTATTGTGGTAAATCTCGTTTTTCTAAGTATTTTTTCAACAATGGCTTTTATGTAATGGTTTTCGTGTATTATTCAAATAATCATTATAGAAAAGGTATTATCCGATTCTGTAGTCTTTATGTAATAATGATATACATTAATTTAAACTTTGACGGTTTGGGTGGTTGCAAGTTATGAAAACGATGGGTCGATCCGAAACAACTTTCATATTCCCCGTAGTCTGGCTTCTGGCGCAGTATGTTTAGGGCCAACGCAAGCCGGCGAACGGTAGGGCAGAGTATTGGAGAGGATTTTATACCCGCCGTACACTGATTTTATGTAATAATTATATACATCAATTTAAACTTAGACGGTTAGCGTGGTTCCAAGTTATGAAAACGATAGGTCGATTCGAAACAACTTTCATATTCCCCGTAGTCTGGCCTCTGGCGCGGTACGTTTAGGGCCAACGCAAGCCGGGGAACGGTGGGGCAAAGCATTGAAGAGGATTTTATGCCCGCCGTACACTGATGAGAGGTATCGCGTACGAAACTGCGAGCGTCCGCCAGCGTACCGTAAAGTCCGCTGGAATGCCACGTCGCTAGAATTTGATTCCGTTCCACTAGTGACTACGCAGTCGAAAAGTCCCCGGCACATTCAGGCCGCAGTCTGCCTGTGTATCCGGGTGCATGCCGGTGGATTCCGTCGCATGCCGTTATCTCCCGCCGCTTTATCTTCTAGCGTGCTCTTCAATGCTGCAGAGTGAAATTGCGCCACGTTGCTCCGAGGTCGATCTCAAAGCATTGAAATTTATACCTTATTTCAATTGAAATGGTATAAAATATGCGTTGATAAATTTAATGTCCTTTGCCTTCCCGCGTGCCAGCTTGCTCTGGCTTTTATATTTATTTTGCCTACGCCACATTGCAAATACGGTGCATTTTACAACGACCTCTT